TTTTTTTAATTGATTGATGATTGATTCAATCAACTAATTTGTTGATTGTATTAACTTGATTCTTTAGATATTGAAAATTAAATAAATAACATTATGTTAATTTAAGCGTACAGAAACGTTGCTGTTGTTCCAGCAAAAATCTTATTTTCACTTTACCGAGTGCCTAGTAGGTAATTTGCAGATTACCTAGATAATCTGAACATTACCTAGGTAATTTGAGAAATAGAATAATTTTCGCAGCTTTAATGGATCACCCTAGTTAATCTGCAGATTAGCTAGGTAATGCGCACATTAACAGATTTCGAGCTTTAGCAGTAACACATATATTACTAACTGTGATCCAATTACTTTAATAGTCAAATAAATGCCACTTATTGTATTATAAATTTCAGTTTATATATTAATATAAAAGCATATTTTAAAAATTCATTTAAAATGTTTTATACAATTAATTAATTACAGTGGGTAATGGTTAATGAACATAATCCATTCCAAGCCTTTGTTTGCTATCTGAATTATTCATTAATTGATTATTGATTTACCATAGATTTTTATGGAAATTTGATTAATTTGTTCTGGAAATCCCAAAAAATAAATAAAAAATTATATACTTTCTTACTATGTTTATTTACATTTAATAAGAAACTAAAAGCAATCTCTCCATTTTTTCATAGATGGCACATCTTTGTTTCTCAGATGTGATTTTTGTTACTCCTTTAGTTGTTCGAGTCTTCTTGATTATATCTTTCTTAGCTAAGATTATGCCTACTGTAGACCTGTTCAAGCCATACTGCCTAGCACCATCAGACATCTTCTGCCCACTCTCTACCTTCGCTATTATCTCTTGCTTGGATTCTAAGGTGAGCACGGTTCTTGACATTCCATTCTTTTTAGCTTCATAATATTATCAATGTTTTTTTTGAAATAAAAAGTTCAAAAAGCACTCACAAAAATTCAGTGGACAGAAATCAACTAGTGCACGAAAGAATTATGTAAATGTGAGGCCCGAATAAAATTAGAAATTTTGATGTTAACCTTTGTACAGGTTAGTCAGATATGGTACTATCACGATGTAGTGGAGAATAAACGTGGAAATTTTTTTAAAGAATTTTTCCATGTGTTTTTCTCGTTTCCATTTTGGAAAAAATTTTAAAAGAGTTATGTCTAGTAAAGTAAAATATTTTTTTATTGTCACATAATTCCTTTTTTATGTGAATTTTTTTTCATGGTAGTTTTTGGCTAGTATTCAGCAATATCCGCAAAATTTTTTTGTAGATATAGATGTCGTTCTCCAGTGCCACACGATTGCCTTGACGGGTATATCCGTCAATTACTGCAGAGTGATTAAACCATTAACGAATATCTGATAGGATAGTTAAACTCTCACCTTTCGAAAATAAAAACTGACAAAACTTAATGAGTGCCCAACAGTCTCTCAAAGACTAAAAAAATTATTTGTCAGAAAGGTAAACAAAAAGCTGGAATTACAATGGAGGGTTTCAAAGTTCGGAGGAATAATATCTGATTGGTATCGGGTTGAGCATCTTCCTTGCTCTGAAAGGTTTTGAATTGTTACCTGGAGACAAGGTAACAAAAACCAATTGAAATTTGTAATTTTATGTCACTTCTTTCTGTGTTTATTCTGTAAAGTGTTCGTTGTCTGAACATAAAAATCATTCAAAAAAGTGTTCATTATCCGATTTATTCGCTGTCCAAACTGTTTGTTAACTGATCACCCACTGTATATGTAAATTCTCACATTCTGTTTAAGATAATGAAAGTGAAATAATTACAAATTACATTTAATACAAAACATCTAAATATATAATGTAAAAATGAAACATTAGAATCAAATAGAGTTTACTAAAAATAATTTAAATTAAAAATGCCTATGACTATTATTTCAAATAGACATTTTTAATTGGAATGTCTAAGATATCTAAAATGGCCACCAAACACAAACTCCAGTTTGAAAATATGAATGTAATGCAAAATGAATGCTTTTTATGGCCTTAACCATCATCAGGTTAAAAGCTTCTGTTCAAGTTACAGAAACTTATAACCTGATAATGGTTGCTTAATGCCATAAAAAACATTTATTTTGTATTAAATTTACATTTTGAAACAGTTTCAGTGTTTGGTGGACATTTTATATTATAATCCATTTTCTAAGCTGTTTTATTCACAGTATATCTATTTGAATAATTGGTATTCCTACTTTAAAATATTTCAAGAATTTATAGATATTAATTATTACCTTCATCTTTATACTTGATAGTTACTTCATCATTAGTAGATAATTTTCCATGAAATACACGTTGCATCATTAACACTAATTCATCGTAAGTGATATCTTCATTATGAATAGGAATTCGTCTAATATCATTTCCTAACTGTGCTTTAATAATAAGTTTTCCACTCAAATCCAATTGAGGAAAACCACTGTCGTCACTGCTTCCACCACCACCACCTCCTCCTCCTCCTCCTCCATGATAACCACCAAGTGACATTTTTATCTAAATAAACCATTATATTCAATTAAAATATTACTGTAAAATAAACCTATTAGTATTTTATTAATATAAAATTTTATGATTATTTAATAAAAAAATAATAAAGCAATCAAGAAAAAAATATCAAATGTTTAATTTTTACTTATTAATTCAAAAAGTTTAAAGTTTTAATCATCATTTTCATTTTCATAAAGGGGATGAAGACTCAGGACTACTCATTGGTATTGCCCGAGTGTGAAGAAGAGTAGAGGAAAGGTAGTTAAGGGAAGAGGCGAAGGGGAAAGAGTAAAGCGAGATAGGAAAGGGGATGAAAAGGGAAAGTTTCATGGGCGCCCAGCCTGTTTTATTAAGAATCAAATGAAACATACAGATATGGCTCCTGGCCATCAGATACAGACAATAATTGCAATATTTACAGTATGTACAATTGAAGACAGTTTGATTACACGTAGTTTGAAAACAATTTTAACCGAAAAAACAGAAGAACATAAATCAAATCAATATTTTGAACAAATACAGTTCTTGCCTGTCAGAATACAGACGATAAATAAACTTTTAACAAAATATTTTAAGGAAAATGATTACACACAGAATGATCAAATTTACTAATCGAAAATACAATAGTAATTAGACAACATTAATTAATGTATTAATCAAATATGGCTTCTCGCCATCAAAAAACATAAATTATACATTGATGAAATCTGAATCTTACAGTTATCACCGAAAGTAAAGTATTACAATAAATTAACTTAAACTATATATCGAAAAGGTTATAACAAATACGGCTTTTCGCCGTCTAGTACAAAATAATTAGAAACAAATGTAGGGGCAACTGAACCATGTAGATCGATAGAGGGTGTAGAGACAAGAACACTAATGTGTTCTTTTAAAGTTCGTCTCAAGCGCTTTAGTCTTCTTAATAAAAGTTTGAAGTTCATAAAAGAGTTCTTTTTCAGTTACGAGATGGTGTAGTTCGCATGGCCAATTGAACCCGTGTTGCAATGTTTGTTGAATTAAAGAGCTTCTTTCTCTGTTATAGTTGCTGCAGTAGAAGATCAAGTGATCGACATCTTGGACCGATGCACCATCGCAACTGCATGTTTCTTCGTCGGAAAGACCGAATCGATGAAGGTAGTGCTTCAGATTCCCATGTCCGGTGAATGTCTGTGTCATGATGTAACCAATATTCAAATGTTTCATGGCAAGGCGCTGTTGAATACATGGGAAAAATTTAAAGGTGATTCTTCCTGTATCACCATTTTCCCAATCCACTTGCCACAGCTGAAGGGCAGTTTGTTGAATCAGATCCTTGATGTTTTTCTTGGTAAGAGCAGTATAGATGATCTCACCATTCTCATTAGCATGCTTTTTCGCTAGTCTATCTGCTTCTTCATTTCCCTGCACCCCGCTGTGGCCTTTAACCCAAGCGAAGCTGATTTTATAGTTGTGTATATTCTTCAACTTATTCCGGATGTTATTTATCATATCGCAATCAAAATAGTCACTGTTGATACGACGAAGTGAGGTTTGGCTATCCGTACATATACGTAGATGTCCTTTGTAGTCTTTCAATGTGTAAATGTAAGAGATAGCTTGAAATATAGCGTACAATTCGGCATCAGGAACAGAGCAATAGCTGGCTAGTTTAAAGCCGGCTTCATGTTTGAAGTTTGCATTGCCATGTTTAAAATGAATAAAAGATGCTCCTACATTTCTGTTGTTTTTGGAACCATCCGTAAAGATAAAGTTAGTAGGGTATGGTTCTGCATTAATATCAGTGATGTCAGCCTTGTAGTTATTTGTTGGGTGAACGTATTTAGATTTCTCTTTGATTATTCCATTATTGACAAAGGTCTGTAAAAAATTATAATCCAGATTAGGGAGGCAACCGATATCCGCATACTTCGTAAGATTGTTGAGGCCTTCTTTTGTAATCTGTATATTGTTGAATGTCCATGTCCATGTTAGCATTTTAACTTTCAGGTATAATGGAGTACACCCTGCTAATACTTGCAATGCCGCGTTGGACGTTGTCCTATATGCTCTACACATTCTGATGAGTATCGGTCGTTGTATGGATTGAATCTTACGTTTGAAGTTAATATTGTCAATTTTTTCGCCCCAAAACGGAGCACCATATAAAATAGCTGGTTCGATGCATGCTTTATTTAGCATTGTAATTGCTTTCCCACTGAGGCCCCACTCCTTGTGAGCAATACTTAACATGGCATTCATTGTTTTGCTTATTTTACTTGCGATGTAATCTAAATGTTTAGTCCAGGTTAAGCTACAATCAATCATTACTCCTAAATATTTCATCACGTTAACATTTTTAATCCTATTTCCATTAATGGTTATTTTGAAAGCCTTTTGAAGTTGTTTTCCTTTTGAGAGAACCATATTCTCACACTTATCATAATTGATGTCAAGTTTATTCTGTTTGCTCCAATTGTATATTTTATGCAGTATCATGTTTGCTTTCTCTTGTAGTCTTTTTCCATACCTATGTGAAATCATGAGCACAGTGTCATCCGCGTAGCTTTGTAGTCTCCAATTATCTTCGTTATGTTCGTTCAATTTAAGGAGGTCGTTGCAAACAATGTTCCAAAGCCCAGGGCCCGACCTTGACCCCTGTGGGCAACCTCTAAAAATAGAGCGTATGACATTTCCTCTTTGATGGTATACTCCTGCTGTTCTCTCTGTTAAATAACTCTTAAGGATGGTAAATAGATTTTTCGGACATCCGGCCTGTCGAAGCTGATGAAAAAGCGCTGGCCACCATAAAGTATTGAAAGCATTTCTGTAATCTATGGTAACTATCAACACATGTTCATTACGAGTCCATGCTTCTTTAATAAAAGTAATAAGTCTATATAACGCATGATAGGTGGAACGCTGTTTAGTAAATCCATACTGCTCTTTGTGCATCCAATTATTATTATATAAGTGGAAGTTTATTCTTTCAATAATTAAACCATCCAGTACCTTGCCGGGTACGGATAAGAGACTAATTGGTCTATACTGAGTTGGTTTAAAATGGCCAGTTGTCCCGGGTTTCGGTATAAATTTAATTGCTGCCTCTTTCCAAATTCTCGGAAAACATCCCTCTTCAAGGCATTTGTTATATATATATGAAAGAGCCACCGGCACAGCGTTGAATGCATGTTTTAACATTTCCGGGGTTATGCCATCTGGCCCTGGCGCTTTTCTATTTTTAACTGATTTTATAGCTTTTCTTATTTCTAGGAATGTAAAAGGTCTATCCTCCTCTGTGTCCGGAAGAACTGATGCATTTCTTCTAATATTTGCTTGAATATGGTTATCGTCTTCTTCGTTATCATTAGGAAAGTGTGTATCAAGAAGGTAATTGACCGTTTCCGTATAATCTGTAGTATAAGTGCCATCCGATTTAAGAATGTTAGCTGGAATTTCTGCCCTTGTTCTCTTTTTACACACTACGTAGTAGGGTTCACTCCACACGTTTGTTTTGCTAGCTAGCGTGCAGAACTTATGCCAAGCTTGGCTCCGGGCTTTATTTATGTTTGTCTTATAATTATTAAAACATTGTAAGTATTCTCTTCTCTTCACAGATTTTTCCTCCGGGTCAGTCTCCGTCCGATATTTCTTTTGAAGCTTACGTGTTTTCCTTCTAAGATCCGAAAGATCGTTATTCCACCAATGAGCGTTATTCCTAGTAATCTGTTTATAATGTGTGGAAAGATGGTAAGATTCAATAATACAGTAGTTAAGATGCTCGGCTAATGAGTCCACGTCCATGTTGTATATCTGTTTGGAGGCCCAAAAAGTGCTAAAGTATATTTTGAAAGTATTCCAGTCTGTAAAACCTTTAAGGCTGTTGTCAGTCTTTAGTGCCGGAGTGTTAATGAGCTTCCAAATAATGTATCTATGGTCACTGGCTGTTATATCTTCTACAGTTTCGCATTTATCAATATATTTAAGAGCGTAACTGTTTGCAGCACAAATGTCCACCCAACTTTCTCCTCTGTGCGTAAAGAAAGTTGGTAAATTACTGGTATTGCAAGAAACCATGTTGTGGCTGGATAAGAAGTCTATGAGTTTCCTGCCCCGTACATCTTCAATCGGGCTAAACCACAATGGCGACTTCGCATTGCAGTCACCGGCTATAATCCAGGGCGAATTCTTAATATGTTTGCTGATGTCGTCTAATTTAATCAGAAGATCCTGTATCTCTGCATATGGCGAGCTGTACACCGAAGTAATGTACAATATTTTATTCTTGTGAGAAATCTGGACCGTGGTAATATAATCCAAACTGAGTAAAGGGCAGAAGTCCATGTTTAAGTCTTTATTTGGAGCTAGAATCCCCGTTTTCGGTGTCGTGAAAAGGCCTTTGGGAGGGAATGTTTTCCAGTTACCAAACCGAACAATGCCACCGTCTAAAGTATACGGCTCCTGTATAATTATCACATCCGCTTTCTTTTCTGTGACTGTCTTAATCAGAAGGGAAGAGGCTGCTTTACATTTCTCCGCATTAATTTGAATAATAGTGATATCAGCATTTTGATTTGTAGTCCCTTGTACACTGTGTAAATATGGTGTCCCTGTTAGATTACCAGTAGCATTAGATCCCATAGTCTGTTTGTTTAATTTTCTGAGCTTTCAATTTTTGTAATGTAAAACATATTTTGTTATACGCATTATGATTTGTCGGGACTTTTTTTGTTGCAGGTTGCTCTCTATTATACTTTATGCAATTAATGCAACACGGTGTTTTTTGTTTTTCATTGCATTCATTGAATTTATGTTCTTTCGTGCAATGACTGCAGTGGGCTTTCTCGGTACAGTCCTTTGCCATATGGTTGAAGCCGGCGCATTGAAAGCACCTAATAATTGGTATAAAGTCATCTAGTTTAATGTTTGCCCATGCCAACGAAAGATATCTGTGTTTGATTAGTAAATTTCTAATATAGGGTGAGACTGATATTACCACATGATGACAATTTTCTCTTATATTTCCTCT